CTGGCTTTAGGTAGGCTTTGCAAGGCAAAAGCCAGGGTTGAGCTGGCTTTAGGCAGGCTTTGCAGGGCAAAAGCCAGGCGTGAGCTGGCTTTAGGCAGGCTTTGCAGGGTAAAAGCCAGGCGTGAGCTGGCTTTAGGCAGGCTTTGCAAGGCAAAAGTCAGGCATGAGTTGGCTTTAGCCAGGCTTTGCAAGGCAAAAANCTACTAGCTATTAAAAAGATAGAAAAGCTAAAATCTAATGAACTAGCTATTACAACATAATAAGCCGAATGCTTCCTTCTCCTATCAGTGTATGTGAATCCAATTTTCATTGGCAAATACCAAGTAGCACATATCAAGCTCTCACCAGGCTCCAGGGTATACTGTCCATAGTCTAAAATGAATTCCAAACATCTCCACCACAGAGTTGAAGCCAGCATAGTCTTCCAAGTATAGCTACTATATGATCTCCATATGCAATGGACTAATTTTATCCAAGTATTAATTATGTGCTCACTCATCAAAATTAATGTGTAGAAGAGGAGCCTGGCTTTAGGCAGGCTTTGCAAGGCAAAAGCCAGGGTTGAGCTGGCTTTAGGCAGGCTTTGCAGGGCAAAAGCCAGGCGTGAGCTGGCTTTAGGCAGGCTTTGCAGGGTAAAAGCCAGGCGTGAGCTGGCTTTAGGCAGGCTTTGCAAGGCAAAAGTCAGGCATGAGTTGGCTTTAGCCAGGCTTTGCAAGGCAAAAACCAGGCATGAGCTGGCTTTAGTCCGGCTTTGCAAGGCAAAAGCCAGGAATGAGCTGGCTTTAAGCAGGCTTTGCAAGGCAAAGGCCAGGCTTTAAAATTGTGCCTTTTTGTGATCTTGTAAGCTCAGATCCTTCCCTACTAGAACCTTTAATGTAGACATCATTCTAAACATTGCTAAACCATCCTCAGATTGAGCATGAAAGCATGCTAATACCACTGAGAAATGGTTCAACAATCTCCAGAAATACCATATGATGGGTTCAGCATTTTCCTTAGCATTTGGACATAGCAGAAGTAGGATAAATTGTACCATCCCACACCTGCTTATCGCATTTTTTCTGTACAATATCAAAGCATCCCCAGATTGAGCATGGGACCATGCTAATACCATTGGAAAGTACTTTAATAGCATACTGAATGAGACAAAGAAACATACAGGTTTGTGAAGAGTCCAATCCTGTGAAGCCATCAGTTTGGGGTTCTTCTCTTTGCTATCCTAACCCTAAGGTTAGGTGATTAAGATTTGTCTAGATTGATCAACCTCCTCCATGCACTAGGCAGTTCAGAGAATGAATGAAACTCAGATGTACCTGCAAAAGAGAACACAATATTAGCTATAAAATCCGCCACTGAGTTGCCTTCTCTGAACACATGTTGAAAGATCACATTGAAGTTGTCCTTCATCTCTATAATTTTATTCACATTCTGTGCAATTACCCAAGGAGGATCCCATTCCCCTTCTATCACCTTCTTCATCACCAATGAATCAGTCTCTAATATGAGAGGGTGAAGATCATGCTCCACGCAGTATTCCAACCCTTGAAGAATAGCCTTAGCTTCAACTACCACATTAGTTGTCACTCCTAAGTCTACTGCCCTAGCATACACCACATCACCTTCATCATCCCTCACACAAAAGCCTTGGGAGCTAGGTCCGGATTGCCCTTTGAGGCTCCATCAGTATTACATTTGTACCAACCATGAAAAGGAAGCTGCCATGTTACTCTTGTAGTGATAAATATAGGTTTATATCCTTTAAAGTATTGAATCATGTCTAGCCATAATAATGGAATATTAGGCATCCAAGCATATCTCACCCTTGCCAGTTGATGCAATATCCTATTTATCTCATGAATCACTCTATTTGTGGACACTAAACCCCCATATTTACCTGCATTTCTTCTCTTCCAAAGCTCCCAAGTGATGATAGCTGGTACTGCTTGAAATAATGGCTTTAATTTTGGACAACACTGAGCATACCATCAATGCCTTATAATCTGCTTCAATTGAATCAATTGCACATCAATTCCAGCAGTCCCCATGAACAAGTTCCATACCTTAGAGGCAGTAGGACTTGTGACAAATATATGATTAATGGATTCCTCCTGGGCCTGCTGACAACACCAACACCTAGACATCACCATTTTGCCCTTGCCTCCTCCACATGTCATCAGTGGCTATTTTCTGCCTCCACAATCTCCACAAGAAGAAGGATATCTTGAATGGCAAACCTTTAATCCACATTAACTTGAATTCCTGATTAGGATCAGCCTTATGCCTTAATATTTGCCAAGCACTGCTAACACTGAACTTGCCTGAAGGAGTTAGCATTCAGTATGGCCTATCCTAATATCCCTCACTGCCTTCATAATGCACATTTAGCCTTATATGTTCTGTAATTTCCTCATTGAAAGTTTGATCTAGCAGCTGATCATCCCATGCTTCCCCTTGCCGCAGTTCTGCCACCTCTTGAAGATCTTCATTGATTGGAAAGTCTTCAGGTAATACGTGATAAAGTGCACCCAATCTAGTCCAATTTTCATGCCAAATATTATTGGTTCCACTCTTCAAATTCCATATGATCTCATGTTCTACTTCTTTCCTAGCATTCAACATTTGTCTCCAAACATGAGACCCTCCCCTAAAATGCACCATTGTTGGTAGCTCCTTCTTGCAATACTTATTCCACATGAAATTAGACCACAAAGATTTTGTGGTCCTAAACCTCCACCATAGTTTAGCAAACATTGCTCTTGAGACATCATGTAAGGACCTAAAACCTAGGCCCCCTTCCTCTTTAGGGAGGCAAAGATTTTGCCATGAAGCCTAGTGTCCGCTTCTCCCTTATTCCTTTGTGCTCCAAAATAACCTAGCATAAGTCTTATGTAGATGCTGCAGGATGTTGTTTGGTGGATCAAGGACTGATAACATATGAACTGGCATACTTTGCAACACACTAGAGATGAGTGTTGCCTTTTCTCCAAATGACAGCAATTTTCCTTTCCATGAATGCAATTTAGCCTTCACCTTCTTGATAAGATCCTCATTATAGTCCTTCCTCCTTCTAGTGTAAAAAATAGGACACCCTAGATATGTGAAGGGGAATTTACCTCTTGCAAATCCTGTAATAGCTCCAACTACCTGAAATAATCCATTAGCAACCTTTGAATGCATGTAGTATGAACTCTTATCTTTGTTGATCATCTGACCTGATGTCTTCTCATAGTTCCCCAACACTGCCATAATCTTGCTCAAGGAGGGAGGATGAGTAGATGCAAAGATTATCGTATCATCAGCATATGCCAAATGGTTTAAAGGATCAGACCACTTAGGCATTCCAAATCACACAAATGACTTGTCTTCAAAGAGCTTGTTCAAAGACCTAGAAAGTACCTCAGCTGACAGAGTGAACAATGCTGGAGATAGGGGATCCCCTTGTTTCACACCCCTTGTAGACTTAAAGAACCCTAAGGACTGCCCATTCACCAATACTGAATACCAGTTATTTGACATCAAGTTCCACACCATGTTGATAAAGTGCTCAGAAAATCCCATCTTCCTTAGCACATGCAGTAAGTACTTCCATGAAACCCTATCATAGGCCTTAGCCATATCAAGCTTGATTACCACATTAGCTGGCTTTCCCCTTAACCTTATGTCAGTGACAATTTCTTGAGTCAATAAGATGTTCTCAAATATACTCCTACCCTTTACAAATCTGGATTGATTAGGAGATATTAGATATGGCAGAAAACTCTCCAATCTGTCATGTAACACCCTAGACAATACCTTGTTAATGAAATTGCTCAAACTAATAGGTCTTAAGTCAGAGAAGGTCTAAACTCTAGGTTTCTTGGGCAGCAACACTAGATTGGTATGAGTGATGGATTTAGGCAATGGAGCTCCTCCATAGAAGTGTAGCACCATGTTGTGTATATCAGCACCAATAACATCCTAACATGTTTGATAAAACAGGCTAGTGAATCCATCAGGACCACTAGCACTCTCCCCACTAAGCTCAAAAACTGATGCCCTTACTTCTTCAATTGTTGGCAATCTGCTAAGTTCCAAATTCTGATCCATAGTGACCATTGAAGGTACATTATTGAGCAAGGAAAAATCAGAAGCATCACCTTCATTTGTGAACTATTTTTGATAGAAGTCCACTGCAACTGTAGCCAATTGCTCTTGGTCTTCAATCCATACCCCACTGCCACTTTTGATCCTCTTCAGTTGCAATTTCTTTCGTTTGCCATTGACATGATTGTGAAAGAAACTTGTATTCCTATATCCTTCAGCAAACCAAGTCATCCTAGCTTTTTGCTTCCAATACTACTCCTCAATACTCAAGTATTTCTTCAATTCAGATTGAGCCTTTTGAAGCACAATCATATTCTCAGTTGTAGGCTCTTCTTCAAACAACATCTCCTTCACCCTAACAATGTCCTCCAAAATAGCCACTTGCTTGAAGATATCACCAAATATTTCCCTACTCCATTTTGAAAGTGCTGCCTTTACCCTCTTGATATTCTGCTTGAACATCAAAAACGGATCCCCTATTCAACTTTCCAATTCTGCCTCATCACATCCATAAATGTAGCATGCTTTGTCCAAAAGTTCAAGAACTTGAAAGGCTTGACAAAATTGGTTGTCTGTACCCCATATGTCATTAGCAATGGTGCATGATCTGATCCAGTTCTGATTAGATGATCAACTTCAATAGTTTGAATACCCAGTGGTGCATGATCGAATACCCAATACTGTTTGAATAATAAATAACAGTACAATAAGATGGAAAGACTCCAAGAAACTGCGACGACCAAGCAGCTCTACCTTGAATCCTTGCGATCCCACTCTAAATCTGTCCGATTCCGATATCTCCAATACCTGGCTCTGCACAAAAATGTGCAGAAGTATAGTATGAGTACACCACGGTCGGTACCCAGTAAGTATCAAGACTAACCTCAGTGGAGTAGAGACGATGTATAGTCAAGACACTCACTAGTCTATTAACATGTGCACTATAATATATAAAATAATAGGAAACAAATAATGAGAAGGGCAACATAGAACAACTAGTGATGTGCACAGCAAAACAACAAGAACACCATTAATATCACTCAACGAATAATAAATACAAGTACACCTAATTAAATCAAGTTCTTCAAATAAATGTCTTTCCAATGTAAGTACTTCGAGTATAAATCTTTCAAATATAAGTTTTTCAATAAAAAACCTTAGAATATAACCTTGTCAAATAAATATATATTTCGAATATACTCCCTTCAAATAAAAGTCACCTTGTGGCACCTCATTTCATAATCATAAAAATACGGGTCTCAACCCACTTCCATATTTTTACGGCACCTTGTGCCCATATTACTATCACAACTGTACGGACAACTCACGTGCCAATAATATCAATGTATATAAGATCCACATGATCAATTTATTCCACTAAAGTGAATTTACAATTTTTAAATCAAGTAAGAAATCAACAAAGAAATGAATTTATTTTAGAAATCATTTGGGTGAAGAAAAAAATATTGCACTTAAATTAAAGCATCAGTTAAACTACTGATTTGGATGTAAAACTATTTAATTTAAAATATAATAATAATTTCTTTTATTTAAATCAACTCAATCATCGAAAATTAGTAAGAAAACCCAGAAATATACTTCTTAAGAGTCTCGTACTAAAAAGCTAAAGCCAACACGATACAACTAGGAGCACAAAACACATAATAATAAAGTCAACTAGTACATCACGGAAGAAGACAAGAATTTACATATTAAATGGAACAAAATCACCCCAGACAAGAACATAAATAAAGATATATCAACAAGGCATTCCCGAGGTACTGCCTCGTAGTCTCAAATCATAAATAAATTCACAATATCTCATTTACTTATATTACCGCGGAAACCTTCATATTTAATTTTTTAAAGAAATTATTTTTCCCGAAATAGCATCCCGCGTTTTAGCCAACCTTATCACACCGCATGACTTCTAGTAGTTCCCCTACTAGCCACGCGTTTCAAGCCACC